CCTGTGCCTCTGGTAGCCTCAGGCTTTACACGCCTGGAGGTGCCAGTGCAGTCCAGGGTTGGTAAGAGCTTCTATCTGCATCTCACTCACCTGGGGTACCCAGCTGCCAGCTCCCATGCTCCCCCAGCCAGTAGCCTAAACCACTGGCATGCATTAAACATTTTTTTTTAAAATGTTTTTCCCCTTTCTTAAATTGGGATAGAAACCAGATTGGTGCACCTGTCTTCTTTCTGCCTTTCACAGATATTTTTCTAGAGAATTCAATAAAGTTAAGAGGAAACTTGTTAACCTGGAGATTTCCTGGGCTTCACATGTTTACAAATGGCTGGTGGATTTCTCCTGCATTTTACCCAAGGCATCAGTTTGCCAACATCTTTNTACAAATGGCTGGTGGATTTCTCCTGCATTTTACCCAAGGCATCAGTTTGCCAACATCTTTGATACATGCTCAGATGGAACATTTTGCTCCCAAGGTGGACAAGTCAGACAAGAAAGGGTAAGGGATGGAGGGAGCTGGGGGCGGAGCAGGGATGCGAGCCAGTGTCAGGGCTGTAGGACAAAACAGTCTCCTCTCAACGGGGACACCCCAGTGCCAGGGGCACGCCCCACCTGGGGAGTGAGTGGCCGCCGGAGGCAGAACTCAGAGCTCCTGGTTCCACTCTCGGGTGCTTTTACTCCACAGTCTAGGACCCCAGATTCCTCCCCCACTCAAATGGCCCCTGCCTGATTTCAGGACCTGTGTGATCTCATCCCTGGTGTGTCCTCCCAAGGGTAGACCGTGTCCCTAGTATACACCCCTAGGCCCAAGGGGGACATTTAGAGGAAAGTGACATTTAGGAGAAAGGCTGTGCAGCTGGGAGTGGGAAGACAAGGGGCAGGCACAGGCTGGAAGCCTGCACTGCGTGTGTGCCGTGGCCTGGGATGGGGTCTGGGATATGGGGCCCCATTCTCACTCTCGCCCCAATTTCCATGAATGTCATGAAGGGGGCCATGCTGTGGCCTGCCCCACCCCAGACCCTGACATGAGGGTGCCATCTGTGCTCCCCTCTTCCTAAGAGTTGTCACTGGAAACTGGCCAGGAACAAGAGTCTTTTGCCCCTCTCTCCCTTCAAGGTGGAACTGATCTATGGTTTTAATATGCATAAACTAGAAGAGTGTTGGGCAGGCGTCTTCTCCTGTGATTTAACTTGTTTAAGATTGCTCCAGGGCCAGCCAGGACTCTGCCAGCGTCAGCACCAGCGCAGCTGTGGGTGAAGCTGGTGGGGGGCTGTGAGCTCACTGGTGTAAGACCCTGGTTAACCTCTCACAGCCTTGGCATCATCATCTGTAGAACAGGGATGGAATGTCTTCCAATCTCAGGGGTTCCTCTCTTATCCTCAGTCCACACTGTCACTCCACAAACCAGCTGTTCTCTGCAGGGCAGAGAGGGTGGTGGCTTAGCACTACCTTCTGGAAAAGAAGTCTTTGCTCACTTGCAGACCATTACTACGATGACCCTGACGACAACTGCTGTTTCCTCCCCTTTCTCACAGGAAAGGAAGATCAGCTGGGATGGGCATTATTGCCCTTCAGTCAGGTACAGGCCTGGCAACCTCCCCTCAGGGCCGAGTGTTGGGGACCCCTCTCTGAGGCCCCCAGAGCTCTGGATCCCTTCTCCCCACTTCGTGATGCAGCCAAAGACACTGAGCACCAGAAAAGCCTGCTTTGCTGGAGACAGACCAAGCAAACTCCTGTCCCAGGGAAAGGGAAAGGGGAAGACAGCATTGGCTATTGGGATCCCCACTAGCCTCCTGCACACAGATTCAGGAGGAGGGATGTGTGCCATGTACTCAACATCTTACAAATGCCATTTGAGCAATTGTGTCTTTCTCAGCCGGGCGGACACACCTAAAGCAAAATAGACACTCGGTTTCCTTTCTCTTTTCCTGTCTGGCTCAGGCAGCTCCCTCTCCTGCCCTGTTAGAGCAGACAGCCTGGAGCCAGGCTGTGAGATGCCTCAAGTGCCAGGCCTAACAGTCTGGACCATTGTGGNGAAGCCTGCACTGCGTGTGTGCCGTGGCCTGGGATGGGGTCTGGGATATGGGGCCCCATTCTCACTCTCGCCCCAATTTCCATGAATGTCATGAAGGGGGCCATGCTGTGGCCTGCCCCACCCCAGACCCTGACATGAGGGTGCCATCTGTGCTCCCCTCTTCCTAAGAGTTGTCACTGGAAACTGGCCAGGAACAAGAGTCTTTTGCCCCTCTCTCCCTTCAAGGTGGAACTGATCTATGGTTTTAATATGCATAAACTAGAAGAGTGTTGGGCAGGCGTCTTCTCCTGTGATTTAACTTGTTTAAGATTGCTCCAGGGCCAGCCAGGACTCTGCCAGCGTCAGCACCAGCGCAGCTGTGGGTGAAGCTGGTGGGGGGCTGTGAGCTCACTGGTGTAAGACCCTGGTTAACCTCTCACAGCCTTGGCATCATCATCTGTAGAACAGGGATGGAATGTCTTCCAATCTCAGGGGTTCCTCTCTTATCCTCAGTCCACACTGTCACTCCACAAACCAGCTGTTCTCTGCAGGGCAGAGAGGGTGGTGGCTTAGCACTACCTTCTGGAAAAGAAGTCTTTGCTCACTTGCAGACCATTACTACGATGACCCTGACGACAACTGCTGTTTCCTCCCCTTTCTCACAGGACAGGAGGATCAGCTGGGATGGGCATTATTGCCCTTCAGTCAGGTACAGGCCTGGCAACCTCCCCTCAGGGCCGGGTGTAGGAGGAGGGATGTGTGCCATGTACTCAACATCTTACAAATGCCATTTGAGCAATTGTGTCTTTCTCAGCCGGGCGGACACACCTAAAGCAAAATAGACACTCGGTTTCCTTTCTCTTTTCCTATCTGGCTCAGGCAGCTCCCTCTCCTGCCCTGTTAGAGCAGATAGCCTGGAGCCAGGCTGTGAGATGCCTCAAGTGCCAGGCCTAACAGTCTGGACCATTGTGGCAGACAATGGGGAGCCATTGAAGGCTGTGGTGCAGTTGGGAACAGTAGTTTAGTGACCACACACGAGACCACAGACAAGAGGCAAAGACTGGAGGCAGGAAGGGCAAGTGGAGGTTGGTGCCATAGCCGGCACGACAGCTCCCAAAGGGGCAGTTCTGCCCCTCAGGGGCATTTGGTAATGTCTGGGCTCATTTTTGGTTGTCATGATGTGTGTGCGGGAGGTGCTTCTGGCATCTGCAGGGAGAGGCCAGATATGCTACTAGACAGCCTGCAAGGCACAGGACAGCATCCCTGCAGCAAAGAATTATCCAGCTCAAATTGTCAATAGTGCCCAGGCTGAGGAACGCTGATCTAGCATGAAGACATGAACACGAGGCCTAAGAACAGCTCTTCTGGGGGAGATGTGAAGGGGCTTGCAGAGATGGGGATACTAGAGAAGGAGGAGCATAGGAGTTGGCCAGGATTGGAGCTGCAGTGCCTGGGAGAGAGTGGTCACGTAGAGAGAACTAGTAGGACAGGGAGATGGCCGGGATGCATGACAGGTGCTGTGGCCACCTGTTCACTTGAATCACAGGTGAGTTTGACGTGGCTGTGGACTCACTCACTTGCCCAGAGTCTGAGAGACAGAGTCCAGGTGAGAGGTCCAACTGCAAACCTGAGATCCCCGAGCCCTCTCCTGGGATCTCACAGCACCCTGCTCCTGAGGATAAAACTTAACCTCTGCAGCACAAAAAAACAGACCCTGATTCGGCTCCTGCTTCCTCTCAGCCTCACCCTCCACCCCTCCGACCCGTCTCCCTGTAGCCCTCAGAGGCAGCGTCCTCACTCTCTACCCGGGCCCTCGAGACCTGCAACCTGGTCTTTCATCTCTGCGTCTTCACAGTTAGCAGAGAAGTGTTTGTTGAATGAATAAATAAATTCATGGACGTCTGAAGATACAGAATTTGTTAATCAATAAACAGAGAGATAAAAATCTCCAAGAAATAGTTTATAAAAAAAGAACAGTGAACTGAGAACCTTGGTGATACCACCATAAGCGGGGGAGAGAAGCCAGCCAGGAACTCAGACGGAAAGAATGAGAATGTAGGAAGATGAGGGTCACCTGGAGGGAAAGTCTGCAATGAACGGGCTTGAACACATTCAGCGGGCCAAGTGCTACACAGGTTGGGACAGGCTGTGAATGTGTCAGTGACCTTTAAAAGGGCAGTTCTATCCTCAGACAGGAGAACACTGTCCTGTAAAACAGCGGGGAGTGGTGCTCTGTTGATGAATCAAGTAAGGCACAAGGAAAGTTTCCAAGAAGGGCCACAGTGGTCCTGCAGACTTGAGGAGAGCAGGAGCTGCAGAGGGGGCCAGGGCCTGCTGAGGGGAGGGCGGGACGAAGGAGGACATGAGGACGTACCCAGGGGACGGGGCTGCAGATGGCGATGGTTTTACTGAATCTGATGTGACTGCCTGAAAGTCAGAGCTAAGTCAGCTGGGAGCCTCACAGAGCAGGCATTTTGTCCTGGAGGTGGCACTGCCACCAGCAGGCTTTTCTCCCTTTGCATTTCACATTTGGGAGGCAGCTGTGCCACCAGCCCTGCCTGTCCCAACCCACGTTCCCTGCCAGCAGGCAGGATGCCCACAACAAACTCACTGAGCTCCCGCTGATTTAATGGGCAATTTCCTGTGGGCAAGATGCTGCCTGCAAAGTCATCTTTCAGAGGATAACCCACGTTCCCTGCCAGCAGGCAGGATGCCCACAACAAACTCACTGAGCTCCTGCTGATTTAATGGGCAATTTCCTGTGGGCAAGATGCTGCCTGCAAAGTCATCTTTCAGAGGAGTTCCATGTACTTGGAACCAAGTGGAGTAAACAGTGGCAGAGGGAGGGGGACATGTGGCTCACGCTTGGCTGCTGGTCTCTGGGAACAATTGGGCACCTGATGTCATGTAACAGCAGGTGACAGAGGCTAACCTGGCCACCTCCCTCCTCTGTGACACACGGTGCTATACCCCCAGCCAGTTACTTTACCTGGGACTTCGCTTCCCTGCCATTGACCTTGACACAGGGGCTCAACTTTAGGTTTGCAATCTCTTGATTTTTGCTCTTTTGAGACTCTAAGCACTTCTTCCTCTGTCGGATGTTGCCCTTCCGGATGGAGGAATCCTTGGGGATCCTAGAGGAAAGCCACGAGGAAAGATGAGAATCCACCGCTGTTTGGATGGGCAACACTAGCACCTGAAGAGGTTGGCGTCATGTTTTGAGAAGGGCAGGGACATCTCAGCCTGGGCTGTTACAAAGATTTGCACTGCTCAGAGAAGGGGAGGGTGCTGCTAAGAAGGAGGCAGCCAGGAAAGACCTAGGAGCAACAAGGGTGGAAGGATCCCAGAACAGAGCCAGCCTCAGGGCTCAAACCCAGCAGCTGAGGAATACTGCTACTAGCTAACCTCAGTCCCTCATGCTGCTGATTCAAAATAATCCCCCTTCTGTCTTCAGGGATAAGAGGGGACAACTGGTCTTCTTAGACTTCCACACACTTACAAACCCTCACCCAGTTGGCCACAGGCTGTCTCCTCTAGACTAAGCCAGCTGAGGGCCTCTCCTTGCAGTCAGCTAAGACCCCAACAGGTAGGGGGTGTACCTGAGTTCTGGATAGACATTCTCCAGGTACCACTTGAAACTCTCACAGTGCAGATTCACTCTCAGATCCGATCTGCTCTCAATGCTAGGGACAGACACAAAGACAAACAACTGTCAGAGATAGGCCCCAGCAACACCGGCTCTGGCTGGGGAGTGCAAGGCATGCCCGGTGCCCACGCTCTGCACCCACATCTCTCAGGAGGGCCCTATGGAAATTAACCATGAAGAGCTTTCTATAGCTCCACACAAAGCTGTGAAAACACTTAGCAATATCTCACAATGGTGCGGAAATGACACTAAGGACGTGTGTTTTACTTGAAAATGGAATTTGGGGGTGTTTTAAATTTTCATTAAAAACAAACCTGCAAGAACATTCAGTGTGTTGTTAATAATTCACTGCTAGGGCTCTGGGTCTACTTATTCAAAATCCCTCTTTAAATTTTGCAGTTGAAATACCACTCCCCACTCCCTACTGCCCCAGCCTCAAAAATCCTCTTCTCGGCTGCTTCTGGGGCCTGTCCATGTGTTTGTTCATCAAATATTCACTGAGTACCTAAAAATGTGTCAGGCATTGTACCCAATGTGGGATAAGATGGAAAGCTTTTGAGCAGTAGAAAAAGACAATGAAACCAGCCATCACAACCCCATGTGACACAGGGCAGGCATGTGGGGCTGTGGGCACACCTCAAAGACGTATTCTTGCTTATCAGGTCCATGTTGGTCAAGGAGGTGATGGTGATGCTGGTGTCTGGAGGAAGAGTGGACAGACACAGAAAGCAGATGAGCTGGAGCCCCGGCTACAGGTTAGGGGAGAGGAAAGACAGACTGGCACACGTGAAGAAGAGAAAGCTCTGCGGGCAGGAGCAGTGCTGCAGGATTCTAAAACAGACGTGCGTGTGAACACATGGGGGGATGGAAGAGGGGAAGTGGGAGGGGTGAGCCGTATTCTTGCTTATCAGGTCCATGTTGGTCAAGGAGGTGATGGTGATGCTGGTGTCTGGAGGAAGAGTGGACAGACACAGAAAGCAGATGAGCTGGGGCCCCGGCTACAGGTTAGGGGAGAGGAAAGACAGACTGGCACACGTGAAGAAGAGAAAGCTCTGCGGGCAGGAGCAGTGCTGCAGGATGCTAAAACAGACGTGCGTGTGAACACATGGGGGGATGGAAGAGGGGAAGTGGGAGGGGTGAGCGGAGACAGCCACAGAGGGTCATGTGAGGCACTGCTGAGGAGCTTGGCCTTTATTCTAAGGGCATCGGTATGAAACTGACAGCTCTAAGCAGAGCATGCATGGTGATGTTTGCAACTCGAGAGCATCTTACTGCTGGCACGGGAATGGCTCTGATGGGGCAGAGTTGGAGACGGGGGCGCGGATAGTCAGGAGGTGGCTGTGATGAGGGCTGATTGTGCTTTCAGATAGGCAGTGGGGGTGGGAAGAGAGAGAGTGACAGCCAGTCCCTCCACTTCTCTCCATCTGAACCGCCAGGGCCCACCTGAGTTCTGTTCACATCTTGTGCCCCCGGGACAACCACACAGCACTGGCACTGCCTCCTGTCCAGCCTCCCCTCCTTCCACCCCGATTCCTCCCTCGGGCCCACCCCCAAGACTGCACCCGAACTTAAGTAGCTCTAATCACACCTCTTCCCCACACTAAGCTCCATGGGGACAGAATGTCAAGTTTTTTTAAATGCTGAATGTTCAGTGTTTAGCAAGGACCTGGGTGCTCAGTGCATGAATGAGGCAGTGTCACCAGGGCTTAGTGATTGCTCGGGGCAGCAGAGGAAGGAAGAGGAAGGAACAAAGGTTGACACACAGACTTCTGACTTGGGCAACAGGGTATAGAAAGACTGTTCCTGGGGATGGGGAATAGGGGATGAGAAGCAAGTTTAGGAGTAAACTTCATGAGTCCGGCTTAGGATCTGAGTTGGAGGCACCTGGGAGACATCTAGGTGGAGGTGTACAGTTGATACATGTATATAAGCGACTGGAGCTCAGAGGCCAGGTCCAAATTAGAAATAAAGACGTGAGTAGCAGTGGCACAGATGTGGTGGTGGGTGCCAGGGAGAATATATAGTAAGAAGGGGGCTTATCACAGACCCTCAGGGGAGACCAACACATTGGGGTAGGAGGAGGAAACTGAGCCTGCAAACAGGACCAAGAAGGCAGAGCCTAGCAGCAGAAGAAAAGCCCAGACTGCAGAGTTCTGAAAGCCTGGAGAGCAGAGGCATGCCAGAGGGCTAAGGCTGCGGGAAGACTCATCATGCTGACAGGGACAGTAAGGGGTGCAAGGGAGTCATGGGGAGCCAGGGAAAGCAGTCGCAGGGGATGGGTGCAAGGCCTCCGATAGCTGCCAGGACAGGAGGGAGGGGAGGGGAAGGTGGAGGCAGCGAAGGCACACAGCTGCTCCATTAAGCTGGGCTCTGGAGGAGCAGAAAAAGATGGGGGTGTAGGTGACGAGCAATGTCAGGCTGAAGGAAGATTTTTGTAGTGTTTTTCTTTGTAAGAAGTAAGACAGAATAAGTTTCAGTGCTGATGGGAATGACGCAGTGGAGGAGAGACTAGAGGTCAGGGAGAGTGGAGGCCCCAGCCCCCTAGGAGTGTGTGTTTGCACATTAGAATCACCTGGGGGGTGGGTATTAAAACTTCTATGGTCCAAGCCACACCCCAGACCAAGTCAATCAGCTCTTTGTGAGAGGAGCACAGGCATCAGTAGTTCCGAGGCTCCCCAGGTGACTCCCATGTGCAGAGTAGTTTGGAAACCTGCCCCCTGTAACCCTCCTCCTTGAATTGTGGTCCTAAGACCAGGAGCATCGCATGACCCGGGGGCGTGTTAGAAATGCAGACCTCCAGAATCAGAATCCGCATTGTATTGTAACAAGATTCCCAAGAGATCTGTGTGCACAAAGTTTGAGAGGCCCTGCGCCAGGAGGAAATGCATCCAGGCAGTGGGAACTACATAAACGTGCATTTATGAATGAAGGCAGGAAGCAAGGGCGCATCCAGAGTCCAGGTGGAGGCTGGCCTACCACAGCAGGAAGCACGCCCTGTCCTGGAGACGGGGGACACAGCCAGATGTGCAGATGCGGTAAAGTCAATGGGTTGGTTTGTCTTGGGAAGTTGATGTCATCTATAAAACAGAAGGTGTCTCTGCTGCCAGTGGAAGGAGGGGGTGGACTCAGGAACTGGGGAGAGAAGATCGAGGAAGAATGCTGGTCAGGAAAGGCAGCGGGGACAGTGGGCATCCCGCGGCCTCGCTGGGACCGACAGCCATGGAGAAGCACTAGTAGCACCAGCTTACGTTACCTGGTGCTGTTCAGTAGCTTGTGCGCAGGGGAGGAAAAAGTCAGGTTCATCCAGGGTTGAGAAAGGGGGTGGCGGGAAGGTAGGGAAGGAGAAGATGTTGCTAGGTAGACAGTAGGGCAAAAGATCTGAGGACAAGACCTTTTGAGCCGTCTCAAGCAAGAGCGTGGAATCCCGCTGGCGAGGTAAGGGGATGAAAAGGGGTGGGCAGGCCTGGCCAGTGGACCAGAAGTTCTGATGAGGACCAAGAGCCAATGCCTCGGGAGGTCTGGAGGGAGAGAACTGCAGGGAGGGTGTGGGTGTATGAGGTAGAGCTGCAGATCACTTTGGTGGGTTCTGATTGAATCCTCCTGCGCAGTGATGGGCCAGACCTATGAAGTTTAGGCAGAAAAAAACCATCTGCTCAACAGCCTTCCTATGACTAGTGAGTCACATTAGTATGACAAAAAGCCATTGGTCGCCCCCAGAGACACACAAATGGTAACATAAATAAAGTCGCTATTCTTCTCTATGCCAGTCAGCTCTGGGCTGGGAATGCAAGGTCATACAGTTTTGGAGCCAGACAGGTGTGGTTTCAGCCTCCATCCCGTCTTACAGTGGTAGGATTTAGGGCAAGTACCTTAACCTGTATAAGCCTCAGTCTCCTCATCTGTAAAATACAGGTAATTAAGCCCATTTCTCAGTTTGGGGAAGACTAATGAGATACCTTAAGCAGGTTATCTAGTTCTTAAACATTGCTTTCGCTGTCCTCTTCTCCCATGAAGCTTGAACATAGCTGGAGGGGACATCTGAGTGCATACCGTTCCTCCAGGGAAGGAGAGGAACTCAGGCTTGGGTGACCGAGAACTAGGCAGGAGCTCGTCCAAAGGCTGATGGGTCCCACATCCTACCTTTTCCATGAAAATCTAGAAATATTGGTGCATTGTACAATGCACAGTTCCCCCTATGGAGTCAGCAGTCCAGGTTGCCAGACAGGTATTCCAGAAGAGCTGCCTAATGCCCTGCACAGCCAGAACTGGGCAGAAGCTCTAGCCGTGGGCCCTGGAGGGGCATAGAGGCTCAGGAGACCAGCCAAGCAGACAGGCCTATCAGGACCCGTTTGCTTCAGGCCCACAAGCAAGGGCTTTTCTCCTCTCTGCCCTCCTCAGCCTGAAGGGACACTTACTTCCCAAAGGGCCTCTCCAGGGCGAAAGGCCGGGCAGCATAGTAGTACTGCTTGTATTCATCCATCCACACTTCAGCTGTCCGCCTGGTGTTCCTGGGGAGACAGAAACATCAGGAAGGGGCTGTCTGGGAGGACCTGGGATGTACCCAGTTGAAATACATCACCCAGGTGGGGTCACCACAATCCACCTACTGACATTATTGTTCCTGGGGTGTCAAGCCCAGCCAAGCCCTACCATATCTCCAAAGGGGCCATTACCCTAAGACACAGGATTTTCATACAAACCTTCCCCCAAAAGGTAAAGACCAGAAAAATCATGCCAGAAACAACTTTTGTGGCTCTCAAGGAAATTGGAAGGAAAGGGCCAGGAGAACTGGACACACGCCTTGCTGCCTGTAACCCAGAGCTCTAAGGCAGGGCCTGTGTGGAGTATCTTGCGTCTGGCCTCCTCGGGATCTTGTGCCGGGATCCCCCCTTACCAGAGGGGAAGTGCTGAGGTCCCAGCTTTCCAAGGGGAAAGCCAACACACGCACAGTCTTCCCACAAGCTGTGCAAATAGCTTGGTGCAGGTGTGCGGAATTAAGTAATCAAGCCATCTCTTTCAGACATTTGCCAGCACTCTTTAGTTTTTTAATCAGGTATTTGCTCTGAGTCTGACCACAAAGGTCAGAGAAAAGGAGACAGAAAGACAGTCTCTGAGGATGTCGTTATGCTGCAGCCAGGGGTAGAGGGGTACCACGGAGAGCCCCAGAACAGGGAGAAAAGATATTAGAAGACCAGCAGGTGGCCTGGGCAGCAGCAGCACCTACCAAGGCCACATAATGTAAACCTAGGGTGCTCTTCCAGATTCTGGCTCTGTTTTGGAGCACAGGCATTGAATGGAGGAGCATGGCAAGTCCTTCCAGGCTAGGGCCTGGAATGACAGTGATGCACATGCAGTCCAGCTCTGGGAGCTCTGGAGGTGGTTAATGCCTTGCTGGCCCTTCCACGGCCTGGCCATCAGCAAGTTGGCAGTCGCTCAGCAGACAGCTGTGCCACAGTTCTCTAACCACTGAGTGACCCAGCATGGCGTGCAGGATGTCCACGGCCGGGGCCTACCTCAAAGTCAATGAATGTCTGGAGCCCAAGGCCCTGCCCCGCACTCCTGGGCTGATCCCTTCCAGGTGGTCACATGGCTCCCAGAGGGCCACACCACTTTCCGGCTCTGGAGGTGGTTAATGCCTTGCTGGCCCTTCCACGGCCTGGCCATCAGCAATTTGGCAGTCGCTCAGCAGACAGCTGTGCCACAGTTCTCTAACCACTGAGTGACCCAGCATGGCGTGCAGGATGTCCATGGCCGGGGCCTACCTCAAAGTCAATGAATGTCTGGAGCCCAAGGCCCTGCCCTGCACTCCTGGGCTGATCCCTTCCAGGTGGTCACATGGCTCCCAGAGGGCCACACCACTTTCCCACACCAGATGTCCCTAGTTCACCTTTACTTTTTCAAAGCCCAACAGTGGAGGTGGCCCTGTCTTTGTTCCCCCTGCTGCTCCCTTGCCTGATGACCTCTCGTCACCCCGCCCCAGCCGCCACGTTTTTGCAAAGGTGTTGCTAATTTCCCCTTTGCTTGAACCCATGCCTCCTCTGAGACGGTGGTGTCAGGACATGATGTGTACCTGCTCGTGCATGTGGAAACCCAGGAAGGAAAAACGCAGAAGAGGACAATGACATCCCAAGAGCACCCCCAAAAGGGGTGTGTAGCTCCCCTCCCCTGAATAGACCAAATGACACCAAAAAAATGAAGAGGGGCCTAGGGGGATGAGTGAAGAGATCAGACCACGAGACAAGAGGATCAGGGAAGCAAGCTAGAGGAAGAGAAGAAAAAAGGGACACACAGAAATTATTGACAGCAGAAGAGAAAGATCGAAAAGGGAGAAATCAAAAAAAAAAAAAAAATCAAGGAAAGGGGAAGCTCTGTGAAGGGAGGGAGCAGGGAGCAGACAAGTGGGCACCCTTGGGTTGCTGAGTCCCCCAGGCAGGAGGTGAGAACACCCTGGGACAGGAAGCTGGGGTCACAGGGCCTGCCCCAGCCTGGACCCTTCTGTGCACCTTGGGAGCAGGCACCTAAACTGCTTCCCCCTTCCCTAGATCTTCACAAGCACCTGTCCCCTAGTGACCCAGTCTGAAGGTGGGAGCAGTGGATCTTCTAGAACTCAGCGGGTGGAGGAAGGGCTGCTACCCACCAAATACCCAGAGCAGAGCCCTGCAGAATGGCGTCCACCTGTGACTTGCAGCCCCTGAAGCCATTTGGGGGGCCTTGTCAAGCCTCCAGCCCCAAGGCTGGGTGTGGCAGACCTGCTGTCCCGTGCCCATGAAGAGTCCAGAATGCTCAGGCAGCCAAACAGCCCCAGGATGGCCGCCACCCCTCAGCGCCCTGCTAGGCCTCCTGTGCCCTGGCGGCAGGGAGATCGCACTGGGCCTCGGGGCCGCACACTCACTTGATGTAGGTGTTGGCATTTCCATCTGGGAACACGTAGGGGTGCTTCTTCCGGAAAACGTGCCCCACTCGGCTGCAGGGGATGATCTCCAGGCTGCCCCCGCACATCCACACTCGGAAGGAGATTTCTGCAAGACAGTCGCACCTCCTCTTACCTCATATTACTGGGAGCTCCTCCTGCCTTGACGCACGAGGCCCCAGGGGCCCCAGGTCTAATGAAGCCATGAGGGCCCTGCACCTGGCCTAGAGCAGGGTGGCTAAGAACGGACTCCACAGCCAGACTGTGTGCTCCCCTGGCTGGGAAACGTCAGCTTCCACATCTGTAAATGGGGATCATAGTCCTAACACCTGGGAGGGGTATGCGGTAACACAGAAGCAGTGGCATGGTGGCGGGGGCGGGGGGGAGGTATCTTATCGCTGCTATTGTTTATAATTGCCAGTGCATAGTGATACTAGAAAAGAATGGGCATTAGACAGTTTTATTGTTGCTTTAAAGTTCTCTACAGACAATGCACCCTCTTACTGACTGCACCCAGAACAGGATGCCCCCACACCCCACTGGATATGTCACTGGTAGGAAAGGCAGCTTCCAACCTGTGGCAATTCCTGCCCGGCTCATGCTTCTGCATTCAAGCTCAAGGATCAAGAAGACAGTCTGGCTCATGAAAGCACCATGCCTGTGGGTGGCTGCCGCTGAGAGGGGCCATGTGGAAGCAGGCTGGTGTCCAGGGGCAGGGGAGGAGGAGGCAGGTATTCCAGGGCCTTCCCACCGCATGCACCCTGCACACCCTCCAGCACCCTGGGCCCCACCTCCTGGTCTCCCCGGGTTTCGTCATTGCAGGTCCTCTCTCTTATCTGCTGTCCCTTCCACTTCCTGCTCTGTCTCCCTTCATCCCAACTCTCCAAGCAACTGCTTAGGCTTGAATTCTTCATCCTGGTCCTCCCCTGCTCTCACTCGCCCGTCCTCAGCCATCCTTACCTGTCCCCTACCCCCCCCTTCCATGTCCCCATGGAAGGGCCGCTGAGTTGCAGGCAAGACTTCCTTCATGCCCACCTACTCCATCACCTCCTCTGCACCCAACCCTCTGTCTAGTGCAGCTCATTCCCAGGAAGCTCTGATTTCCCTTTGTGGAGGACAACATGGACTCTAGGATGAAGGAAGGACTTCTCAGGGTTGCTACTGAATGATGGCAAGCACACAGGGGGAAAGAAACAGGAAGAGCTTAGCTTTGGGGTCAGCAAACCTGAGTGGGCAGCAACCCACTAGCTGTGTCCTTGAGAAACCTGCGTAAGCTCGCTGAGGCTTGATTTCCTCATGTGTCAAAGATCAGAAAAATACTCTGCAGGACTTCTGTCAGCATCAAATGAGATGGAATTTTGAGAACAACCATGTCAATTCTACGTGTGATTAAAAGATCAGGAGCAGTTATCAAGACATCCCTCCGAAGCCAGTCTCTCTAGAACCTGGGCATGATGTGCTGCGCCCACCTGAGCCCACTTCTAACTTCTGAGACAGTTTATAGCTGTAAAAGATCAGGAGCAGTTATCAAGACATCCCTCCGAAGCCAGTCTCTCTAGAACATGGGCATGATGTGCTGCGCCCACCTGAGCCCACTTCTAACTTCTGAGACAGTTTATAGCTGTCTCCTCCCGTCTTCTACTGCACAGCAGGAGACACCTGAAGTTTGCATACTTAACAATAGAGATTTTGGCTCTCCATAAGGCTCCATGATACAGAGCGAGCTGGCATTTGGGGCACAGTTTGAGACTGTGAGTGAGGACTGAGCTCAGCAGCTGCCCAGCACCCACGTCTGCATCATGCACTGAGTGCATAGAGGGTTCAGTGCGTGGGATTGTGTCGGTATGCGTGAATTTGAGTCTCAGGATGTCTTCCTTAACATGTCTGTGCTCCAGTCAACTCCTCTCCAGGGACTCAAAACAGGGTCTGCTCCAGTTCCCAAAAAGGAAAACCCTCTAATTCCTCAGAACGAGCAATGGAGTTTTGCTCACCAGATATAACCTACAAGTGTCGTGCCAGCCTTCTCCTACAGAGATGCATGTGTTTCCGCTATGATCTCTTCCTTTCCATGGATTCAAATGAGACACATGTCCTTCCTCACGTGCAAAGCAAACCCCTCCAACCTATGCCCCCACCCCAGCCTCCTCACCTCCCAGCCCGCCACAAGCTGGTTCCCTCCCCATGCTCCCTTGTCCAGCAACTTGTTTCTCTCTGGATCTACAGGCCCTTTCCCCTCTGCCAGTCATGCACAGATCCCCCCCCCCCCTTGGACAGTACTGTCACCTGGCTCTGGTCCTTCTCCACCTTCCTTTGGTCTCCTGGTGTTCTCCTACTTCTCCCCAAGGCTGTGTCTTTGAGTGTCTTCCTGACCCTGCTTCCTCATCTGAGCCCAGGCTTCCCTCGATGCTGAGGACTGACCCCCAGCCCCAGCTCTATTCCGGTTCCAGCACCAGCGTCCACTGGCTGGCCAAGGCTTCCAGTGAGGTGCACCAGACACCACCACACCCAATACGTCTTCTACCCCCTCAGCATCTTCCCACAGCCCAAAGCAGCCATGCCTGCTCTCCTCCTCTAAATCCATTCTTCTTCCTCTTTCCCTGTATCTGTTGCTCTAGTGCATAAATTCACAGTACAACAACCTGCAAACATTAGCCCTGGGAGGAAAACGACCCCTTCGTTTCCTCCGGGGCCAGGCTTTGTTAGGCTCTTCCTCAGGCGGCGGCTCCTCGGTCCTCCTGCCAACCCTGCACAGTGGTTACTGATGTTCTTATTTTACGACGCAGCAGCAGCTCTAATTGGACATCTGACAGCCAGCTAGTCGCTGGAACTTGACGCACATCTCTCTGGCACCAAAACTCACAGTGTGGCCCTGGCACTGCCTTGCCTCAAGACTGAATATCTCCCACTGGCCAATACAGCTGTGGGTACAAAGATGCTCACAAACTAACACGAGTGACAAATATATAACTAGCTGTCACGTTGCTACCTTATTAACTCTCTCATCCAGTTCTGAACAATGTCTGTCTTAGTTCTCCTACAGGCCAGCTGCTGCCACCCAGAGGAGCCTGCAGCCCAAGATGGTTAAGAGTCTCTCTACCCTGGGGCCCAGACGGTCATATCTGAAACGATGGGAGGCACGTGGCCTGACATGGGTTGTTGTGCTGCTGCCAGAGTCAAGAGGCAATCTGAGGACTGCAGCTTGGAGTTTTCAGCTTGGTGTAATGATCTATAGGCCCTACAGTGTGGTATAGTTAAAACCCAAGATACACAGTTGCCCTACCCTTATCTATACCACTGACCTCAGGATAATGATGGGTATCCTAGGACTGCGAGCCAGGCCCAGCGGTTCACAGATATCTGCTGAAGCCCTGGGGAAAGTCTTGTAATCCTGAGGTGCCATGCAGGGGCAGGGGTGGAGGGGTAGTACAGGTGTCATCAGAATAGACCAAGGGGTGAGGCAGAGGCGTTCCAGGTACAGCTCGGAGCCTCCACGCTCCAAGGCTGCAGCTCCTGCAGTCACCGTGTCTTCAGTGGAGGGGGAGGGAGCAAAGGATTTTGTGCAGGGAGTTTACAGGGGCTTCTCGCTGAGTCAGCACCTGCATAATCTCCCTTGTGATAAATGTCACACAGACCCACATCCATTCTGAATTCCAGGCAGAGACAGGTGTAATTATTGCATCCTCATTGGGGGCATTGCTATCATCTCACTTTCTTTAAACTTCAGATTAATGTTTGAGAGCAAACTGCCCTACTGCCCTCCACTCTATCTCCTCATTAACCCATCAGCTCTTTTTACCAGCCCTCCTAGGGCCCTAACCCTTCTCCAGAACCAACATCCACCCGAGGAGCCCATAAATGCCAGACAGGAATTCAGGCGAGAAGGGACAGCCTTCTCCCCAGGAAGCAAGCACAGCTGTTCTCTCATATTGCCACCACTCACTTGTACTGGTCAAAGTTCTAATTTCATTTTATAGCCTGCTTTGTAAACAGAGGCAAACGGGACCATTACACACAGGTACTACTTAATGCAATGGGCCCTGTTTTAAATGGAGCCCTGTATACTGTATACGTACGTATCATATACACAGTAGTGTTATCTGTTCTACCTTTGGCCAAGTTTAAACCTACTGAGGACAAAGAGTAGAGAGGACAGTGTTGGGCAGAGAGAGACAGACACTCATCTGGCTATTGTCACTCATAAGTCCACACATACATACGTGCATACGGGACCTTGCCTTTCTGTAATCTTAAGGTTCCCTGTGCCCACTGGCCAGGAAGCAAGCTGTTCTTATTATCCTTTAATAAATGCATAGATTTGAGAAGAGAAAATCTTAACTGGCCCACAAAAGACAGCTGTGAATGTGTGAGCAGGACTGCACTTCACCCACATCTGGGACAATAAAGGCTGCATCCAGGGCTCCCTGCTTTTGGACCATGGTCTCCAATGGCCACACAACTGCCAGTGCCAAAGTGGCACCCTTTATCTTTCCACATTCCCTTTGAAAAATGACCAACCAATGTCCTCTGTCATGGAACTTGATTAGACCTGGAGACATTCAGGAGCAGCAGGACAGGATGGCCTTGGGGGGGTCTCACCTGAGTGTGGCTGCCTTAGCTTTGCTCCACCCGGAGGAAAAGGTGGCTTTCCATCAGACTTGGGTGCTCCTCTCAGATGAGACCATTTCCCTCATCTTGAGCTGCCAAGCATGGAACGGGTGAAGCCAAAAGAGAAAGTACGAGGAATAAACTATTCTAGGGGGTTGGCCTCAATCCTCCTGTAACAGATACTGCTCACACGTAGCCTAAAGGGGAAGGCAGGCAGCAGGTAGAGCAGAGGTGCCTGCGTTATCTAATAATCTTCACAACACTCCTGTGATATGGGGACCGCGATGGTTTCCTATTGCTGCCATAACAATTTACCACCAATTTAGCAGGTGGATTTGGTTAGGTCCTCCACCTAGGGTCTCACAAGGCTGAAATCAAGGTGTCTGCAGGATCGTATTCCTTTCTGGAGGCTCTGAGGAAGAATCCGCTTTCAAGCACATTCAGGTTGTTAGCAGAACTCACTTCCGTGGGGTTACAGGACTGAGGTCCCTTTCCCTGCTGGCT